GCATTGTAATTGTTCTTGCGGTGTGATAATTGCGGCTGAATTATAAGGCACGAGCAAGGATTGAGCGTTTACGATTGTGATTCTGATGCTTTCAATTTTCTCGGTGAAGAAGTTCATGAAATCATTACTTCTAAACTGTAACAAGGTATTTTGTTCAGACGACGTCTGTTTATTTGTTAGTCTAGCCAGGGTATTAAATAAAAACCTTGGATTATTTCGGTTGTTTTCTATTAGTTTGCTGAGGTGCTCAGCCCTGGCTGTTTTAAGGGCCTTTTTATAATGTGACATACTGTCTTTCCACGCGATTCTAAAGACCTCTAAATTAGTTTTTTTTCCATTTACGCTCTAAATTACGGGTTTCTCTCTTTAAAACATACGTAGTATTATTGTACCATGGTGCTATACTTTTTTCTCTGACCTTTTTTAATCTAATGGGTGCAACAATATCCAATGTTCTAGAGAGAATGGAGCTCATAGTGCTAGTTAATTCGTCTAGTTCATCTGTTTGTTTGGGTTCAGGCAGCAGCTGAGTCAGATCAGATAAGCTATTTGAGAAATGATCTATGGTGGATGGAAGAATTGTTCTACCTGGTTGATAACGTGGCGCAGCATGACAAATTACGGAAGTGCGTAATATGCAAGTTACCATGTAATGGTCCGTGACATCATCACTTTGTGGAATGATATCTATATCGGTTGGATCGGTTCCATATGATATAATTAAATCGAGTGTATGATTTAGACGATGAGTTGGTCCGGTGACGTTTTGCTTGACCCCGAAGGAGTTTAATAAATCTGTGAACGCAGCCCCTAACGCATCATTTGAATTATCTACGTGTATGTTAAAATCTTCAACAATTAATGCTTTTTTGACGTAGACCAATAGATCTGATAGAAAGTCTGCAAACTCTTTTAGGAAATCGGTGTAAGGCCCTGGAGGTCTATATACGGTAGCCAATGCTAGAGATAATAGGGATTTTTTTCTTACATCTAAGAGCGTAACATTTACCACAAGTACTTCAAACGAATTAAACCTATGACGAGTTTTCTGAGTAACATTAAGGATATCTCTGTAGATTGTTGCAACACCGCCGCCACAACCGATCAGACGGGGTTCATGCTTATAACAGTATCCTGGTGGAGTAGACTCATTTAGACCGAAATAATCATTTGGTTTAAGCCAGGTTTCAGTAAGGCACAGAACATCGAAATTATTATCTGTGACCATTTCATTTACAATAACCGCCTTAGGTGTGAGCGATCTAATGTTTAGAAGACCTAGCTTTAGAAATTGTTTTTGTTCACTAATAGCGAGATTTTTTGTTTTAATAACAATTCGATTTTTTCTTGATCCCGCGGTAGATTTATTATTTGATCTCAGTAAACGAGGAATAGACACAGTTTCTATGCAATGTTCTACACTAGTATTAATAATCAATTAAATTGGTGCAGTAGAGACTGTGATTTGGATTTTTGGTTACTAGTCAAACGGTATTTAACATCTTGGAGATGTTATCCGACAGAAGATATGCCCCGATTCTACTTGGGTGTAAGCCATCAGCGCGGAAGAACCTCGGTCGCTCCCAAAACAGATTCCAATTATTTACAAAGAGTAGTTTCTCCACATCACATCATGACAATAACCATTCATTTAGCGCGAATAATCTACTGAACTTTTCATGCCCTTTTCGGTACGTAGGAAGCGGTCCAGACACAATAATCGATGTTTCAGGTGATGTTCTGCGTACCGTATCGATAAGGCTCCTGAAGTCTTTCTTCAGAACCTCCGTCTGTCGCAGCCTAGTGTCGTTAGCTCCCGCGTGCAGCACAACAGCTCGTCACCGTTCAAGATCTCAGTTACCCGTGCAGTGATATCGAGAACACGAGCCACAGGAAAGCAATGAGTGTGCACCTTACTTTTACCTAACGTAGCGTGGACGTGTCGGACCGTGGAATCGCCGATGATCACAGAATCGCGTTCCATTTCACAAAGAGGGGAGAAGCGGTTCTGGGTGGAGATCTCGAAAACCGGGAGGGGCGAAAAGATTCTTGTCCTGGCACGCGGCTTCCGCGGAACCACCCAGGCTTCGTGGTGGTGTGTTGGAGCCGGAGTGAATGAAACCATTGCTGATCGTGACCTGGACGCTCGGGACCAATGCTGAGAAACGCACGGAGTAGATGTGGTCAGCGTCAGCGGGTTACTAATATTAATCGCTGATCCGTGTGCATCAGCGCGTGATGTTTCAAGAGCTAAACGCCGGTCTCTCAGCTCAGCTGGTCTCTCTAGAAGGTCACGGATCTGTTTTTCTACAGCCTCTAATTCAGACTGCACCGTGAGCAAATCAGATTTGTTCTCATCTGCACCAAGAGGTAGATAACATACATCTGATATATTCGCCAATTTAACAGATGGACATTAAGTTAGCAATGATGCAACCAGTGATGCTATTAATATTTATACTATTTTATGACTCAAGTCTTGGGTTTAATCCATCTAGTGGTACGGGTGTAATGTAGACGCACGATAGACGGGAAAAATATTTGTTTGTAAGTGAGTGTAAAGAACGCGTCTGGCAATCGATCGTAGGGCCGAGCAGCAGTGAAGCAGTGTCTCGCTCTACAACCAAATGATCCAACCGTATTTGCGGTTCCAGCCGTATAATGGCTTGAGACGCGTCTTGCCACGTTTATAAGTGAGTGTAAAGAACGCGTCTGGCAATCGATCATAGGGCAGAGCAGCAGTGAAGCAGTGTCTCGCCCTACAACCAACAACCAAATGTTTCAACCGTGTTTGCGGTTCCAGCCGTATAATGGCTTGAGACGCGTCTGGCCAACTGTCCGAGTTGTAATTATGAGTTAAATGATGGTTCAGAATAGAATAAAAGAAAGAAATACGGAAAAACAGAAGGAAATACGAAGCTAATACGAGGCTTAGACAGCCACGATGCAAACAAACTCACAGCAGGCAGCGAGGCAGACAAGACAAGACAAGACAACACATGTGCCATATTAATGGCACATGTGTAATTACACTCTATTTAGCACAAACAGGGCTACCATAATATGTGAGCAACATGTATGTACATATTTGTATTTTTGAGAGAATATTGTTTATGCATGGTTATTGAAAAAACTAAAAATTAAAGTTTCTGAAATAAGGCCACAAAACACATATTGATTATTTCTTCACAAGACTTTTGAAAATTTTATCACATAGCCTAGAATATTTGCTCCAAAACTATGTGAGAATCATCCTGACTACTCATTCAGATAAGTCAATAAAGTCTTTTAAAATGTGTATGACGTGTTTTGTTTGAGAAAGCTTTATGCGAGGAGGTGTGATCTCTCATTAATATGTATGGCATTTCACACCTGAGAAAGACAAAGACCCTCCCATAATGGCCCTATTAGGTGTGCTATCAGGCCCTATCATTACGAGGAGCCTTGCACAAAGAATGAGGAGATTTAAAAAAGAATGGATTTTAGATTGTTTGGATTTATTTACAACACAACATAATCCAAAGATACACAACAAAGGACAAAAAAGCACATTAGTAAACACACTGATCTAAAGACAGAGGCTTGCACAGTCACACAGCATTGTCCCATTCCTGAAACATAGTACACACCTGTCATTTCCACGGTGTTTGATTTTTCATTTTCAGTGATGGGAATAACGGCATTACTTTTTCCAGTAACGAGTAATCTAATTGATTACTCTTCTCATCTTAATAACGCCGTTAACGTTACTGCCAAAAAATGCGGCGCGTTACTATAACTGATGAAGCTGGGTTTTTTTTTCATCAGACCAACTAGATCTCTGAGCGTGAGGCAAATACTTTTTTTACTGCTCTTCCTTAGTGAGTGGGCAGAGCACGAGACAAGCGCAAGATTTTTCACGAGTGATGATATTACTGCGCCGAGTCTAAGTGCTCCCAAGCACTTGCTATGGTATTCTGCCATAAAATATAGTTATCCATTTTACACGCTTAGAAAAGCGCAACGTTTTATTTTGTGTCACCGTCCTAGGTCGAGTTACACTACTCGTGTAACTGTATTTAAATAGGGAAAACGTGGAGGTGTTTGGTCGCTTCTCTTCTGGGCACGTATTGAATGAACAGGGCTGAGATAAGATCTAACAAAGTTTCGCCGCAAGACAGCGATGTAGTGCACGCACTGAGATGAGAGAGGTATGCATCAACTCGTCTTAGTTAAGGGAATAACAGTTTAATAAGAAAAACCAGTAAAGTATCCCTTTAATCTAAAAGAAAAGGTCAGCTATAAATACATTTGCAACAAACATATAGGCTATGCATATGAGTGTCATGACAAGGCCTAATGGATCAATAATTACTGTTACACAATTTACCTTATCTTTTAGTTTTTCAATTGAATCTTGAGGAATATCCCGTGACCTCAAATTCAATAAATTCTTCTTCTATGTTGCGATCTGCGATTATTGATGAAAAATAAGCTCCGTACATGTCATTCCTAGTTCCACATTTGCATTAATGATGCTATAACGCAAACCAGAAATTGTAATGCGTGCGCACGAGATACGTTTCTCGTGCGCACGCAATACGTTTCTCGTGCGCACGCAATAGTTTTCATGTGCGCACGCAATAGTTTTCATGTGTGTGCGCGATATTTATTTATTTCTTTTTTTATTATTGGCAAAGGTCCCCTCAGGGGCTCCGTAGATTTACACCAAACATTTGTGCTTAAAAAACCCTCTTCACTGTAACCTGCATCTGTTGTCTGGTTTGTAGTTCGTCTGGTTTATTTAACTGTTGGTTTTACTGTCTTTTGTGGGATAATATAGTAAGATGTAAATGTTCATCTTCAGGGAGACTGCCTTCTACCGCCAGCAGGATCTGACGGTTCAAGCAGGAATCTGTCGCTGAACCACCGGATGGGGCTTACGCCAAACATATATTCTATACACTATCTACATTTTAATCCTTATTCACTCAGAGTCTTTATGGTAGAGATGATCTTACCACAGTGTCTCCAGTTTACAGTGAGGATTCGCCAGTAGATCAGAAAGCTGCTTTATTCCTGAGTCTCCTAGTTTATTCCCAGGCAGATGCAGTGTTCTCAGGTGTGAGGGGTTTGATCTCAGAGCTGAAGCCAGAGCAACACAACCTTCATCTGTGACACCACAATCCCACAACCTATAGAAAAAGATGACACACATTAACCCTCTGGGGTCGGCAAATGCGCCGGCGCGTTTTGTTAGATTTTTTTCACATAGCAGAAAAAAAGACTTAAAATACTCTAGGGCTGCAGCAATCGATTCTTTTTGTAATCGATTAATCTAGCACTTAATCGATCGATTAATCGAGTAATCGGATAAAACATTTTCTGTGTTTTTAAACAACCAAAACACATAATGCATAACAAAAATGATGTGGCTGTAAAATGATCAAGCATTTGGCTTTTATTTATAAAAAATAAAAAACCTGGTATTTATTCCAACTCCAACATTTGGCTCCAAAACTAAGCGTATTTATTGCAATTTTTACCCATTTAGTATAAGTGCCAACAATGTTCTATGCTCAATTACTTAGGTAGCAGATTAAAATGTCTTCCCCAAAAGTACGAGTGGATTTGGAGAAGCAGGCTGGGGAATTTCATTTTTTGTTGTCTGTAACTATTTGGAAGATGTGACATAGCCTACAAACAAGGTCTTGCAAAGACTGCAATACAATATTTGTTCCTCCATCACGTTGCGGTGTATACAGTGAATGCATGCTGAAATTGTTGCGTGGCTACATAAAAGTTTAAGCATATGTGATGTTACATAACATATTGTTTAATAAGTTGGTCCAATACTCATTCTACAACAATAAAAACATTAAAAACATTATACAAACAAGCATTAAAAATACTGGATAAAAAACCATACCACTACCACCACTGTAGTATTCTGAGGAAATATCAGTTACTAACTTGGGATAATCTAATTAAATTAAAAAACATCTGTTTAATTTATAAAATCAAACATGGTCTAGCACCTCCTCCACTATTTGACTTTATACTTTTTAGATCAAGTGAGGTTAGGGTAACCAGAGGGGCAGTGAGGGAAGACTGCATTATCCCCCGGAGAAAAACAGCTTTTGGTCAGTCTGTTTTTTCCGTAAGAGCAGCAAAGCAATGGAACACAGTGCCTGAAAACATCAGAGAGTCTTTGTCATTCTTTTCATTCAAAAAGTATGCAAAAAAATGGCTTGTAGAGAGCCAAACTTGTAGGCACTAATGTTTTCTGTGTACACTTAAACATTGTGTATTTATTTATTTATCTTGAATTGTAATTTTTAACCATAATGTGTTGTATGTAATTTTATTTTTGTGATTTTATACCTGTGGTTATTTTTAAGGTTGCCTTTTTTACACCTGGCTGGGGGACTACCGATGAAAATTAGCACCTCTGAGCTAACTTGGGTACATTTACACTGTTTCAATGTTTATTAATGTACACTGTCCCCTTTCAAATAAAGCGAAAATGAAAATGAAATGAAATTGCCGCAATTGATCTGACTCGCGCGTGAGAGAGACGAGGGTGCATGCGTATGTGTGTGTGTGTGTGTGTCTGAAGGGGTTCTTTTTTAAGGCTAAACTCTCTTGCAATTGAACGTGAATACGTTTACTACTTAAAAACATCAAAGCTAAACATCATATCTAGTCAAACCGCATCACGACATCACTACAAATACAGTATGGGATTAAAATCAGCGAACATCAATGTATCATAGGCTTATGGTGTGTTCACACCGAACGCAAATTTAATTATTTGCGCGAGTAGATTACATACAAAGTCAATGCAAAAACGCGAATAGATGCATCATTCGCGCCGGGCGTTGAGACTGACGCGGATTGGGCTACGCGTTTGCCGCGAACGTCTTCTGCGCAAGTTGAAAAATTTGAACTCGAGCGAATGTTCAAGCGTCTAACTAGACGCGATAAACGTGTATTTGACGCTCTATCCGCGTTCGGTGTGAACACCATTAGTTTACCTTGTTTCAGCGACGCTTGGTGAAACAGCATGGAGTGGATGTTTTCGGTTCAGATGCTGAATCATTGAAGTCGTACTGTTGTAATATGCCAGGTCTACTTTGCAGTAGACACATTGCACCTTGTTCTCTTCCTTTTTAAGTATGTAATGATCCCAAACTTTAGACATTCTCTGCCATTTATGGACATCTTTACTCTCCGCCATCGCGCCAACTAAATTCAAAATGTATCACGCGCTATATAGATCCCTGCGCGTATAGTGCGCGTCATAGGAATTTATCAAGGCTTCGAGGCAGAGTTTTTGCCTCGAGGAATTTTTGTAATCGAGTTAATCGAGTAACTCGATGAATCGTTTCAGCCCTAAATACTCCATTTCTGGCCATACAGACTTAAGAAATAAGAAAAAATAAACTGTTAAATGTCTACTTTTTTATGTGTCTACTTACAAATTGAAATAAAACTTTGTGCTTTTGTAAAATAAAGAAAATAAACAGGGTGTGCTTTCTGCCTCTCCGTCTCAGTGAACTTTTTTTCTGGAGCCGTCTCTAAACTGAAACAAAACTCAGCGAATACTATTCACCCAGGCATGAGCAATATATCTTTATAATCATTTAAATGTGTACTTTTAAATGATCTAATTCAAAACTAAAATAAATATTCTCTGTTTATGTAATCTATATAAAAAGAGAGAGATGTCAGTCGTTCTCATAGTTCTCGTAGCTAATTATTCTGCTAATGTGACACGCCCACAGAGAGCGCGCGCTATTCAAACGCAAATGATCTGAGGTAGGAGTGTCGCAATATAACGGTGTCGACGATAATCGTGATATTCAAAGACATCGTGTTAATTTAGAGTGTGGCAATATACCGGTATTGGCGATAACCACGATGTTTAAAATGAATAGGACTGTAAATACTCCAGCGCGAGTGCCTGGTTGACTGTATTGCACCCGCTGACACCTATCAAACAAGACGACGCAGCCCGGGCCGCGCAGCAACTCTGAGAAGAACACGTAGGGGTGTGACGATTACCGCATCACCGCAATATTGTGTTAAAAGTGTGTGTGTGCGTGTGTGTGTGTGATTTTGGTTGGGTGACAGTTGTAGGTTACAGTTTGACAAGAGTTTAGAGTGTGACAAAAGCACAATGTTGTGTTTTAATGCGTGTACACAAATATAAGTAAACACTTTGCAGTTTGAATGATGTCCTGTATGAACAAAATGACGGAGTATGTTTTTATGTTTCCACTGTTCGATCGTGCCCGCGCATCTCTCTCTCTCTCACACACACACAGTTCGATCGCACCCGCGCCTCTCTCTCACACACACAGTTCGATTGCGCCTCTCTCTCTCAATCACACACACACACACACACACACACACACACTCAAGCATTGCAATCTTGACATCGCAGCCTGTTCATTATGCTGCATTCACAACAAACATGAATAGAGCTAAATTTAACGCTATTTAGAGTTTTATTTATTTTTATACCATGTATTCTTCGTGGAAATCCTTATTCTTGCCGAGTCTTTATGGTAGAGATGATCTTACCATACTTCCTCCAGTTTACAGTGAGGATACGCCAGCAGATCAGAAAGCTTCTTTATTCCTGAGTCTCCTAGTTTATTATATGACAGATCCAGTTGTCTCAGGTGTGAGGGGTTTGATCTCAGAGCTGAAGCCAGAGCAACACAACCTTCATCTGTGACTCCACAATCCCTCAACCTGTAGAGAACAATGACACACTCTTCACTCTCAGATAAAAACAGAAATCTTTGTTTTTCATAATTGTGAAAATGTATAATTTGTCCAATCTCTTTTTTTAAACAATTAATTCAATATATCAGTAAGTTTAACTGTTATTCTAAAAGATTGTCTTTATGTGAGGAAGAAAGATTATATAAAACTGATTAAATGGAATACATTGAATATGTCTGTTTTTTACCTAAATAAATATATAAACATTTAAATTAAATCAAAATTAATATAAAAAAGTCTAAATATAAATGTTTATATGCATACATTATAAATGCAAATATTTGAAAATCAATTTCTCACACAAATATCATAAAAAATTGTTACGTAGATAACAAATAAGGTCAGATCGGTGGAGGGTTTAAAAGCTGAAGTGTGACACTCATATTATTTGTTAAACCATTAATTTATAATGTTAAAGAAATGTTATATTGTTTTAGCAGTGATGCTTGTTCTCAGTGTTACTTACCAAGCTGATCTAGTTGCTGTAACCACAGGCATCAGCTTCTGAAGAACTTCATCTCCAGTGTTTTGTGGGACACTAATTGAAAATAAAAAAATAAAAAGTTAATTATTAATGCTAACAATATTAATTCATAACATAAGAAAATAATACATTATACCTCCATAAATACCCTCAAATATTTAATTAAACTGCTTTATAAAGGATAATTGAAAAAGTTATTTTAGTGTCTATAACTGTAGAAGCCCCGTATTTAGCAACACATATTTGTTTTTTCTTTTTCTTGAAAATGTCGCTTGTCAAGGTCTATTAGTCTACATTTACACTACAACACTATTTTGACATAACAGATTTTTTTGTCCTGTCAAATGCATATATTTTCATAAATAAAGAAGTATTTTGTGTTAAACAAGTTAGGAAGCCGGACTGCACACGCACACACACACACACAAACACACACACCTCATTCATCCTCGTCTCGTTCACACACAAACACACACACACACACACACACACCTCATTCATCCACGTCTCGTTCCTCCCGCCATTGCCGCTATCATAGGAGCACGTGCACAAGAGATGCTGATCGCACATGGACATTCACCCGTTACTCCACTCTCCCTTCCATAACCATTTCCCGGTCATTTCATACACTTACACAACTCGTCATTCCGTCTTTGTGTTGTGTGTGTGTGTGTGTGGGCGTAATCAGTCTTCCAGCGGAAAGTTGCGCCAGTCAAAACGAACGATCGAGTGGGAGCCGCTGATGACGTCACACCGGTGTATCACAACCGGAAGCTGACGAAACCTGTGAATAGGTGTTCGTGTGTGTATTTAAATCCAAAGATTATGTGTTAAGTGTAATATGCGTGAATGAATTATGTGTTTATTTTTTAAATATATATATATTAAATTGGGAATGGATTATAATTGGTTATAAAATAGATTAAGTATTTGTATGTGTATTCAATGTTAAACCAAGGCCACGTTAAATGCCTTGGCAAGGCCATACCAAGGCAATGTTAAACCGAGGCCAAACCTGAAGTCGGTAAGGTAAGGTAAGGTAAGGTAAGGTAAAACTGTATTACCCCACAGGGGGAAATTTGTCTTGGGCCATCACCCATGCTGCAGTCAGTACACAAACAACACACAATAATCAACAAATAAGGCAATAAATAATAGAACGAGAAGTAGAGATTTGCAATTACAGCTCCATACCGCCACTATTTAACATCTTTACAGACACCGGAATAAAAGATTTTTAAATCTATTCAATCTGCAGCGAGGAGCCCTAAACCTCCTCCCAGAAGGCAGCAGCTCATACTCTTTGTACAAAACATGAAGTGGATCACCAACAATCTTTTTAGCTTGTGTTAAAGTAGCAGGTTCATAAATAGTCTGCAATGATGTCTGTTCTTTCACTCCAATAATTTCCAAAGCAGTGTGGATCATCCGTAACAGTTTAGTTCTACGTTGTATGGACAGATTACCAAACCAGGCTGTAATGCTATATCTAATTAAGCTCTCAAAGACTGCCTGATAGAAAATGATCATAAACCCTTGGTCCACACCATAAAGTCTCAGACGACGCAAGAAGTGCAACCGTTGTTGTAACCTACTGCAAAGACTATCTACATGAATATTCCATGTCAGTGAATTATCAAAAGAGACCCCAAGATATTTATATGAAGGGCCCTGTATGATGATTTCATCGTGGATAATCACAGGCCTGTGATCACCAACTCCGCTAGGGTCAAACACCATCTCCCTTGTTTTATTGACATTCAGAGCTAAGTGGTTGTCCTCGCACCAGTTTACAAACCTACCAATCTCTGCAAGATATTCAGACATGTCCACTTTCTTTTTCAATAAACCTAAAATTGCAGTATCATCTGAGAATTTAATGATGTGGTTATTAGAATACTGCCTTCTACACTCATCAGTATACAAAGTGAACAAAACCGGTGAGCTAACACAACCCTGAGGGGCTCCTGTACTCAACGTTCTGAATTCAGATAATGTACCATTAACACTAACCCGCTGCCTACGATTGGTCAAAAAAGAATAATACCATTTTATAATAAGTGGATGAACTTTAAAATTATTCAACCTTGCAATTAAGAGATGGGGCTGCAGCATATTGGCCCTCATTTATCATTCTTGCGTAGAAACGGGCGTATATGTTGGCGTGAGATTATGCTTACACTCCTCTCACCGCCTGATTTATGAAGCTGTGCGTACCTTTGAAATCCAGGTGTACGCAATACCTACCCTTGATAAATGCCGCGGCTGAAAACGATCATCATTAGAATAACACGCCCCTATATATTCAAGTATCCGCTTCCCCCACGCCCTCATTTTACGCCATGGACACACGGAAGACGGCAAAGAGGAGACACTTCACCGACGTGGAGATCGAGACCATCCCCATCATGAAAAATTATTATTAAATCAAACAACAATATTGTTGATGATAAATTCAAAGTTAATTGTCTTTTTTTTCAAAACGCTATAAATCCATCCATTTTTGTAAAAAAACAACAACAAAAAAACAACATACTATAAATTAATATAAATTAAATAAGTGCAACTGCATGAAATAAATAAAAGCCAAACAAAATAAATAGTAAAATAAATTAAATAGTACAAATAAAAATAAATATTTACAATGTCACGTTCCACCACATAAAACAAATAATTAAAAAATAACACACAAATACAGTCCTTAAATACAACAATGTTAAAAATACATTCAAATCATTTAGTAACACATTTAGGCTAATAGTCTCTGCCTTACACCGCCACGTTTTCCCCTCTTCCGCATCCGCATCCGCATCCGACGGCCTTCCACCAGTTTTCTCCCCTGCAATGCTCTCGGTAGCTGGGAGGCGCGTGTGAAACTAGGCCGGAGCAGCAAGAGTTGGTCACGGGTATAGTACAGAACCGCCTTCGACATCAGCAAGTCCTGATTCGCCAGCATGGAGTCGCATTTAATCAGCCATATGACTAAAATCAGCATCAGTCCTCTTAATAAAAACAGCATTGTGTACCCAGATTGAGCACTGTGTTAAAAATCAATAAATAATACAAACAAACACAAGGCAGCAGCACGAGGTAGCCCGGGTCGCAACAGAGCAGCGCCACTGGAAGATCAATGATCTTTCTGAGTACTTGTACTTAAACTGGTACTTGTTTACCATGTCGATGCAAGAGTGCTTCAGTAGTGCCTCGAGCAAACCCCAAACCCTTTCGTATTCTGTGGATACCGTTTTTGCCTTATATATATATTGAGTATTTTTATGGTTATTTTTTTTCCTTTTGTTGCTGTTTTGGTACATTGGATTTGTTTTGGGTTTTGTCATTTATGTGGTCACTTGTAAATATTCTACACTGTGGATGAACCTCTCTGACACTGTAAATAAACTCCACCTTGCGAGTCATTCCGCCATCATTTTTCATCCCTTTACAGACAATCACAAGTGCGTTCCATTAGTTCTTTTACATGAATTGGAATTGGAATGTGTGCAAAGGATTGTGGGAGATTGAAGGACACGAAGAATACACTTGATGCATCCTTCAAAATGATCTGAATTAAAGACACAAAATGTCTGTCTTCAAAAGATCCTTCAAACTGAGACGACCTTCAGAGGCACTTGATGATGTGGCAGTCGAGATATGCAGCCTTACTAGGACACAGCCACGGTTTGAGAAACACCCGCAAATTATGTACAATATCCCAGAAATCAGTCTGTGCCCCGTGATTTAAACACCTCTGATTTCTTAGTTTATCTTTGTTCGTAATCTTTTAGACTGTAATGATTGCACTCAGTGTTACTTTTTTTTTTTTCTACTTCCTGCTCTGCTACTGTTCGGACGCTCTTGCTTACCGCTCCGCGCTTTGCTCTATCGCTTTTATATTTTTATATTTTATCTCCTTTTATCACCTAATTTTAACTTCAGCTAATCAGCACAGTGCTCAAACGCTTGGATTACTACAAAAAAGCAGAATTCTTTTATTCAACCAGCCTCCCACTGCTTACATTCCGGGGAAGAAAACACAACTGCCTACATTCTAAAGGATAAGAGAAAATGCCTCTTCTGGAATCTACTTGCTGCACTAACTGCCAGAGACTTTTACAAAGGATTGCAGTTCTTGAAACAAAGTTACTTGTGGGACCACCAAACCAGACGGAACACACAACAGAGCTTCGTCATGGACGCCCTCAGCATACAGCCGGTGAGTCCCATGAATCTAGTCCTCCTCGACAGGCCATACTGAGTGTAGAGAAACAAGCCGATCGACTTACAAATCGATGGCAAAAACAGGGAGCGAGACCCAAAGGCACTCGAGACATCAGATTGTCACAAGCATCACATATTGCCGCAGTAGCCTCCTCTACCCCAGATACGGCTTTGACAAGGATTGCAAACACTGGTCTCCTACCACCGCCTATACATCTTGAGAACAGATTTGAAGTATTAATGAATGAGGAATCCCTGAATGTGATGAATGTGATCGAACACAGACTGAACCAGCCAGTAGCCAACACTGCTAACTGGCACTCAAGGTCGAGCAGACAGCGGCACTCAGCTCAGACCGCAGCCGAGCCCAGGACTCTGATAGTGGGTGAATCGATAATCAGAAACATTATTAGCAGGGACACAACTACGTACTGCCTTCCACAAGCAACGACTTCTGATGTAAACAGGGAACTTGAGAACATTCTGACGAAACATAAGACTGCAAATCGACTCATCATTCATGTGGGGAAAAATGATATTCATAAAGAGCAGTCAGAACTCCTTAAGAAGGATTTCAATGAACTTTTTGAAACACTTAAAAGACTGAAAGTACAAACATTCATCAGTGGACCACTCCCAGCAAGAGGAACAAACAGGTTTTCACGGCTGCTTGGGCTCAACACATGGCTGCAAAAAACCTGCATTATAAAAGGAGTAAACTTCATTGACAACTTCAATCTTTTCTGGAGTCAGAGGCAACTGTTTCAACAGGATGGCCACCACCCAAACAAACTTGGTTCAAGAGTGCTAAAGGACAATATCTACTTCTCCCTCAA